CAGTTGAATCATTTTTCTAGCTCTGAAATCTTTTTTTTCTAGAAGCTGATATTTTCTTGTTTAATGTAAGGAATGGCATTCTTCAATCTGGGATGTTTAATTAGTTTCTAATTGAACTATACAAGTCAGCCAAAATTTCTAAGCGCATACAAGGTTGAGAATCACAACCTCTGCATTTTAATCAGCATTTTAGAGAATTCATCGTTGGAGTTGGAAATAAAGATAAAATCAATAATTGTACTCATTAGAAAGTGCTCAAGATATAATTGTGTTTCTTCATATTTGACACATTGTTTGTGTTTTTCACGCAGTGATAATGTCATATAATCTTTGCCACAAATCCTTCTCAATACAAGTTACTGGTTTGAATCTCTGCTAAACGTAATAACTTCCCTCTTTCCTCTTTCCTCTTTAATAAAACGAAAAAATCATCGTTTTAATCCCCTTTGTTTTTATAATGCTAATTTGTTAAACAAAACTACTTATTACAAATTCTTTCTTTTATAAATTTGACCAGCTGAATTAAAATGTTGATGTTTGTGGTGATCTATGAGTATTGAGTTCAATCATGTAAATTATATGGTCATCATTCTTTATTTCTTTTGATTTCATTTTTATTGAAAAAGAGCGAAATTTTATTTTTTTTGTACTAGGATGTCATTTCACTTTTCTTTTATGAGCTCAGAAACTTCTGAACATCCACAATAAATAATTTTATCAATAGATCATAAGCAAATGTTGGCCATTCCCTACTACAATACTATATCATAAGCTCGAGATATTTATCTTAAAAAGTATTAATTCCATGAAGAAATAAAATTTCATAATACTGTTTAGTTTTAATGAAATTGTCTTTCACAAATTTTGCCGCTGACCGACTATAAATATGGTATCATCGGCAGATTCAAATGAAAACCTTATTCCATCACAATATGGTAAGCAAATGAAGATATGTACCAAGATTTGCTCTCCTTGTGCAAAATCCCATAAGCCCAACAAGATTCTTGTGATGAACTTTTGAGACCGCCTTACCCCTTGCATTGAACCTTGTTCATATGTTTCTTTTTATTGCAGCAACTTGACTACTTGGTAGAAAACCTCCACAGACCTAAAGATCACCAACAAAATGAAGTTGAGATAACGAAGTTCTTGCAATAAGTGTTGGATTAATTTATTTGACTGGAGCCCAGTGCGTATATAGCCTCCAGAACTAATCCCCACTATTTAATAACCATTCACACTAGTTCTTAATTAAAGACTCTAATGTAGAGAACCAAGCAGGCGCTTTGAAAGAGTTGTTGCTCAAATCTCTATGAAGAAAAAACAAAAGCATACATTTTCATCCGTTGAAAGTGAAATACACATCATTTCATACAATTTTAATGTAAGAAAACCCGACAATTATTTTGAAACTAGACGGACATTGAAATATATTGTTGGGTAACTTGGGTTAGCTACTTCTGCTTTGGACCGTGACAAGCCGTCGTCACACTAGTCAAATATAATTTTACCTATTTAATACAATTATTAGTAGTAAAGTTGCAAGATGGGTTGATCCCACAAAAAAGGATACCAAGTACCTATTAAAATTATTTCTTATTATTATCATCTAGATTACTAATAATATTATTGATTTCAAATTAAACTAACCTAAAACTAATAATTAAAATCTAATTACTTAAATAAAAAAAAATTTAGGGTAAAGGTTCACCTACCGACTACTCAGCTTAATTCAACCTATAAATATGTGACTGATTTTCATTAATCTCACAATAATTCACCAATTTAAGAATTATATACTCTCGTGTCATAAACCTCTTACTCAAATTAACCATATGACAACTCTCGTGACTATAGAGATTAATAAAATCACATTAATAATTTTAGAATTACTAGTCGCAAAGGCGGTGTTTCCTACTGTCGTGACTCACTACCTAAGTTTACTATTCCTACGAACTAATACTAGCCTTCCACTTTCGCTAGTTCAGCTACCACCTTAGAGCATGCAAATATTGATCAGGTATTTACATGTATAAAAAAACAAGAATAGCAAATATAAATTAAAGAAAAAGTCACAATTATATAAATTTAATAAACTAAAATAATACTACGGCTACAACCAAAACCCTAGATTAAATAGTTTAGTTACGCATCATCTCAGAAATAAGTAAAACAATGAAACCCGGGAGAAGTCGGCCGAAATCTGAAAGTTTGGAATTCCTCCGCAATTAATGCTTGTCTTGGTGCATGCTTCTCCTTTCCGATGATGATGGTAATGTATGTGTGGTGTGTGCGTGAGGAGTGGATGTTGGTGGAATAAGATGATTTGGTTGTGGAAAAGGGCTCGGTTTTGGTGGATGAAGAAGCTTTGCGTGGGTTTGGTGTATGGTGGTGGAAGGTGATGTTTATGGGGGTGATGAAGGGTCTGATGGTATAGGGCGGTGATGGAGAAGGGTGGAGGCTTTGGTGGAGATGGAGTTGCGCGAAGGTTCGGTCCAAATAAAATTAAAAAGGAAATGGGCTTCTTCAATTTTCTTTTGTTTATTTGCATTAATAAAGACCAGCCCTGTTTCCTTTGTTTGGGCTCCAAAATTCTTTGTCTCTAGTATTAAGTCAAGGCCCATCACTTATTAATCCCAACAAATGTCCACTTACGGCCGAATCCAAAGGAAAAGGTCAAAACTCGCACTTCAGTCCTCCAATTCTTTGAATCTTCTGATTTCTTCTTTGCAGATTCATCTAATTTTCAATTTTGCTCCTTTGATTTTCTTTTATCTTGATTTTAGCTTAAAACTTTAACAATTCCTTCATTTAAGTATAAATCCTACAATTAGGATAAAATGACATAAATAATATATTTATACTCAAAATATTAGTAAAATCTCGAATAAAGAGATATTAAAAATATATAAATTTATGCATATCAGACCGTTAGAATTAAACTGAAGCCCACAATTATGTTTTGAAAACCGGACTAGAAAGGCAAAATGGTGAGCTTAGGCCTCTTTTTGGACTAATACTTTCCCCATACGTTTTCAAGTTTCGCCTCAGAATAAAATGTGGTCCACGCCAAAGGGGCAAAATTTCGGGTTTCTTTATTACTTCCGCCGTCCTATAATTATTGTCCAGTTTGGATTTCATTTTTAGTTCAAATTGTATTAAACATGAAATCTCAAACTGGACAATAATTTTGGGACAGAGAAAATATAAGGACCCAAATTGTGTTTATAGAGATCAATATAGTGTTTCTTCATTCACTTTGTTTCCGCCTCTATCATCTTTACATTCTCCATCTTTACTAATTTCAATATCCTCTGCCCTGCAAGTCTCTGAAACTCTAAAAGAAGAGAGTAATTACACAAGGATGAGCATCTGTCTTTTTTTTTTACCGTGAAGAGCTCCTTGTTTGTTTCTGAGTTTCAATATTGATTTGTAATGGAGATTTGATGGACGATCAGTTCCATGCAGCCATTTTATGGATGTCAATTGTCAAGTTGAAGCAATGTGGATCTTTGTTCACACATCACAGTCTATTCCAGCTCCCTTGAGTACCTTGCTAAACCCTCGATTTGGTAGGCTAAAGAAGGAGCTCCATCCTATAGCTGACCCTCCATGGAGAAAGAGCTGGATTCGATAACCTGGAAAGAATCAAGCATCAGTTAGATTTCTCTATGGATGCAAATCAAGCCTCAAACCAGATTTCTCCGTACCTCAATTACGTAATTTCAATTAGTTGTTCATATATGGATTGTATACTTAGGCTGATCTGTAATCTTTAGTAGCATGAATTATATGATGCTCATATACTTCAATTCATGACGCCTTTTATGAATTGATCGATCGGAAGCGTTACGTTATGGTCAATCTTTCAAAGCATGAATTATATGATCCTCATATTCTTTAGCAATTACGAGCTCAAACGCAACCACACCAAAACACCATTTGTTACAGTCAATTCTTGAGTCATTGTTGTATTCAGGTTCTAAATAGCAATTATAGGCAGAATTCAGGTTCTACATATAGTGTCATTACAACGTTTCATCTTCCAACCAACAGAAAGTGCAGAAAGCATATAGCAAGCAAAAATGACTAATCAGCCAACAGAGGAATCGTATTGTTTGTTGCGGAGAAAATGTTCAGATAAATGAGCTATTTGATTTCGCTGATGTTAAGGATTTTCATAGTCATAGTGTAAAAACTTTTATAGTCATAGTGTAAAAATCATAGTATCATTGTGATGATAAAAATAATGAGGAAGTGTTTGGGATCAATACAGGTCGGGGGAAGGTGGGTGTGATTGTGGTGGAGGAATATATAGTATTTTTTTTTTATATACGTAGGAAGCAATAGCTTGAGTACAAAACATCCCTTAGGATAGGGATGATAGATTCCTATCTACTTCTAGTTGTTCGGCAATACTAGATGGGGTTATTATCAAAACCTGTAACCCCGTTGGGCATGAGAAGCCAAACTTGGCTAGTGAATCTACGGCCTTGTTGGATGTTCTACGAATGAGGCTAAGATTCACCCTCCAGCTCTTTTCTAATAATGCTAAAATATGCCTAAGAACATTGCTTGATGGTATGGACTTTTCGCTATATTTGAGAGAATTTATCGCTTCTATCGAGTCCATTTCCAGAATTACTTTTCTGAAGCCGAGATTCCAGGCGATCTGGAGGCCAATTTGTGCTCCCCAGTATTCGGCTTCCAAGCAATTACAGTTTCCCAGGTTGGCAGCAAAACCCGTAATCCATCGACCTTCATGGTTACGGATAAGCCCCCCTGCTGCTGCGTTTCTCTTCTTGATGCTTGTAGCTCCATCTGTGTTAATTTTAACTCATTCTCCTGGCGGTGGACTCCATGGTGGAGTTTCGGCTTGGCCAGGTGTTCTTTGTGGTGCAAAAATCAAATCACACCTAGCAATTTCTCTGATCAGGGAGCTTGTTGATCTTCTAAGCTCTTCCATTGAGATAGGAGTCGTGCTGAAGTTTTCTTCGTTTCTAGCTTTCCACAATTTCCAGCAGATGACTCCAAACAAGAGTTGGGTCTGGTGGTGGAATGGCCTGTATGAGATCAAGAGTGGCCTGTGGGAGTGTTTGTTGAAGAATATTCCAGTTCCAGTTCCCACAGTCATCCATGAAAAGATTGAGCTTCTTTTGTAGATCATCATCTGTGAGAGGGATCCGAGATTGGAGAGCAAGTGGAGTGTTGTGATTTAGCCAAATGTCCGACCAGAACCTGATGGTTTCTCCGTTTCCAACAGTCCACCTTATACCTGCAAGGATGATGGGCCAAGCGTTTGCAATATGTTTCCAAAGCAGCGAACAGTTGGGACGATCAATGCTTGCTAGGATTTCACTACTCTGGATTTCATATTTGGCTCTGAGAATTTGTTGCCAGTAACCTCCTTCATCTGATAGTAGTCCCCACGCATGTTTCAGAAAGAAAGAGGCATTTACGTCACATAGTTTTCGAAGGCCCAGACCACCTCTGTTCTTAGACTGATAGACTGTATCCCAGTTGATCAGGCTCATTTTTTTCTCATTTCCGGAAGCTCCCCAAAGGAATTTTCTTCTCAGTTTGTCAATTTGGTCTGCAGTTCCCTTTGGTAGCATGGTAGACTGCATAGTATATATTGGAACTGCCGCCAAGACCGATCGGCAAAGTGTCAGTCTTCCCGCCAAAGAAAACCTATGAGGATTCCAAAACTTCACTTTGTTCTGAATTTTTGAAAGGACTTCGCTATATGTGGATTTTGTGACGCGTCCATGTATCATTGGAACACCCAGATATCTTCCCAGGTTATTTACCAATTTGACTCCCAACATCGAGCTCAACGTTACAGCAAGAGAGGTTTCCACATTTGGGGTGTAGTACAGCACTATTTTTGCCTTGCTCACCATTTGGCCTGACGCCACACAGAATTTTTCTAGTACTGAATGAATAATCTGAACTTGCTTCGTACTTGCTTCCGCAAAGAGAATCAAGTCGTCCGCAAAGAGGAGGTGTGATAGTTATATCTTTTTTGAGCCAAAGGAGAGTGGCTTCCATTTTCCTTTACTGACCCCCTGATTGATAGCATGAGATAATCTCTCCATGCAAAGAACGAAGATGTAAAGGGAGATTGGGTCGCCTTGATGAACTCCTCTACCCGGTTTGAACTCTTTGCCTATTATGCCATCCCATAGTATGTTTGTGTTGCCCGTGTTTAGAGAGCTTATTAACAATTTGCTAAAATCAGATGGGATCCCAACTTCTTTTAATGTATCAGCAATAAAGTTCCAATGTACTCTGTCGAATGCTTTTGCCAAGTCGATTTTGACGGCCATCCATCCTGTTCGGCCTTTGGAGTTGCGCATGGTGTGAAGAGCTTCCTGGCCTATGATTATATTCTCCAATATATTTATGCCCGGAACGAAGCTGGTCTGAGTTGGAAGAGTCAGAATTGGCATTACCATTTTCAGCCGGTTCGCGATCACCTTTGAGATGATTTTGGCTAAAACGTTGATTAAACTGATGGGCCTGAAGTCCTGAAAGTTTTTGGGGTTCTCAATTTTTGGGATGAGAACCACCAAAGCCTTGTTTATGCTGTGATCAATTTGGCCTTTGTCAAAAGACTCTCTAACTAAGTTGCAGACGGAGGTTCCAACTATGCTCCAGTTATGATGGTAGAACCCTACATTGAAGCCGTCAATTCCACCCGCTTTGTGTTTGTCCATTTTGAAGACAACATTCTTGACTTCTTCATCCTGTATTGTGTTAATCATAGAAGAAAATAATCTGTCAGGAATTTTAGGGAAATAATCTCTTACTTCATACCTGATATAGGGTCCTGGGTCTGCCTTGTAGAGGTTTTCAAAAAAGAGGGATGCTTTTTCACTCAGAGTTCGTGAGTCATTACACCAGCTGCCATCTTCCAGTTGAAGGGATTTAGATTTTTTTTTTCTTTGTAGGTCGATGGGCAGTGTGAAATAATCTGGAATTCCTGTCCCCTTGCAGGAGCCAGAGAGACCTGGAATTTTGCTGTCAAAGAAGCTCCTCCTGGGTACAAATTTCTTCGTATTCATCCCGTAATGTTTGTTCAAGTTCCTGGAGCCAGGACGAGTGGTGTGTTGTCAGTGCCTCCTGGATTCCACTAAGTCTCGCCAAAATTCTCCTTTTGTTTTTATATACATCTCCAAAGTGGTTGAATTTCCAGTCGTCGATTCTATCCACAATGGTGGCTATGTTGTCTGTGAAACTCCCTGTTATATTCCAGTTACGTCGTAGCCAGTCTGTCCAGTTGTTATGTGCTTCCCACATGTATTGGTACCTAAAAGGTTTTGATGGTGGGGGGTTATTTTTTTTGGGTAAAGGAGACTAGAAGTGGAGAGTGGTCTGAGGATGCTCTAGGAATATGAGTGACCTTGGTGTTACAGAAATGGTCGCTCCAAAGTTGGTTAACCAGGGCCCTATCCAAGCGTACAAAACAGTGGCCATTTGTCCACATGAATCTGGTGCCTTCAAATCCTAAGTCTAACATGTTTGCTCTTCGTATCAAGGATTGGAATTTCCTGCAGCCTTTAGATTTCATTCCTCCAACTCTGTCTCCTTCTTCAACAATAGCGTTGAAGTCGCCGAGAACGATCCAAGGTCCGGTGACGTTACCTGCAATATCTTCTAGTTTATCCCACAGTATTCTTCTGGTTAGTCTTTGAGGACTACCATATACTATGGTGATATAGAATGTGGAATTATCGAATAAAGTGACCTTTGCATGTATAAATGGCCAATCATTTTGAATTACTTGAACATCAACTGAGTCTTTCCACATGAGCCATAAGTCCCCAGAAAAGCCTACAGCTTCGATTCTATGCGAATTATGTATTCCTATTTGCTTAATTATTTTATTAGCATCAATTCCACTTATTTTTGGTTTGAAAACCGCCAATAATTGGAGATTATGCGTGAAAATCAGGTCTTTTAAAACAGCAACAGTTTTAATATTTGCCATACCTCGGCAATTCCAAGGCAAAAGTTTGCTATTCATAATTAAAGATTAGGTGGGGGTGGAGAACTTACCGACCGGATTCCGGCGGTTGTTCTTCCATGAGGTCGGGGCGGCTAGTCAACTCAGCCGTCTCCTGCTGTGCACTATTCTCTACAGTCGTGACTTCTTCCACTTCCATGGTCGTCGTTTCCCTGGCGATTCCTCTGCCTATTTGGAATTTAAGATCAGGTTTTTAGGTGGAAGCCCCGATTTGGGTCTGGGGGTTTGCCGGAGAAAGGTTTGGGGGATTTCCACTTCGATACGGCTTGGTCTGGTGGTTCTTTGTCGTTTGCTTTTTGGGGCGGGTAAGGGTGTGGTAGTTGGATTGTGCTGTGTTTTGACGGGTCTAGGATTGGGTGTACTGTTATGTTTAATTCTTGTTAGGGAGCTGTGTGAGTATTATGGGCGGTTTCTGGGGCTTGGGTTAGTGGCTGGGTTGTAGGGGCTTGAGTTTGGTTCTGGGCCGCTGGGATTGCGGGCTGTTGCTCTGTTTGTTGTAATGCTCCGGCTAATTTCAATACACAAAAAGAAGGGATCGACGAAATCGAAGAAGTAATTCGGAGCAAGTTAGGGTTCGAAGGGAAGGGAGAGAGAATTTGGGGATCTACTATTTTAAAAAAAACCAAACAATACTTCAACTAATCCATAATTATAATCTAACCCAGCTGAGACTATATACAGGCTTGCAATTTGCATAATTACATTTCAAACCCTATTCTATTACTTTAAGTCAAATGAATCCTAGATTCATGACAAACTCCCCCACTAAAAACAGTGTTGTCCCCAACACTGCCTTCACAAGGTCATAACCAAAACTGAACCAGAGTAAAATGGCACATACGCCTTACTATATCACATCTACTGCTCAGTTTACCTTACAAAGAAAGCAGACTGAAACCATTCGACACTAAAAAACCATTACTAAATATATCATGCTATCTATAATTTAAGCAAAACTTGAGCAAACTGGAAACATGAATCCACCAGACTTGTAAACTGTAGCCATCTGAACCTTGAACCTGCATATTGCCTTTCAAATGTTGCGCCGAACTTCACGATCAAGTGCCAGATCGTTCACATCCACCATGTCACCGTCAATAGTCCACAAAGCGTTTTCAGGAGGGTTTGATTTTACCATTTCTTCACAAAGCAGCACATTCACCTGTCCAAACTTGCAAACATGTCCGGCTTGAAATGTTCACCACACCGTAGCACAAGTGGTTATTGGCTCGATCTTGAAACTCCGGGTGACATTTTTTGATATATCTATTACCAGGACCCTTATAACCATTCATTTTGATACCATTTCCAGCTTTAGTTCCTAACACCCCTTCTCTGTCTTCTTTACCCTTAACCATCTTATCAAGAAAATCACCGGTGGTTATCCTATCACTATTTCCTACCGGAGACTCATTTCCACCCCTCACACTTCCCGGTGAGCTAAGGGAGAATCAATCATCCGAGAATCACGCCAACCTAAACTACCATTGAAAGACAGAGATTGCTCTTGATAGAGCGCAATTTCAAAAGCAGCAGAATGTTTTTAGGGTGCCACATTCTAACAATGGTTTCAATTCACCTTAAGTCCACTTATAAAACAGGATACATAATAGGCATCATCAAACTGATATCCCATCAACAACAATCTCGAATGTAACTCTTCAAATTGTTCCTGATACTCAGTTACACTACCAAGCTGAACCAATTTACTAAACTCTTCAATACAGTCCTGACCATTACTACTTCCAAAACGCTTAACCAACAATTCAGCAAATTCAACCCAGGTAGGCTTACCATAAGCATGTTTAACACCTTGATACCAAGTGTCCGCCTTGCCGTCCAGGAACAATTCCACAGCATCCACGAGTTCAACTTCTGGGAGTTGGTGCATCTGAGCGTACTTCCGGCATTTGCGCAACCAATTCTGCGGATTTTCACCTGTAAAGATCGGCAAATCCAGTCGGGGTTGCTGGTACCACCGGTAGTTCTGTTGTCCCCAATTGTTGTCGCCCTTAACTCCCCCTGAATTCGTGAACTCTGGCAAGGGACTGTTTCTGTTGAAATTGCCGGCGCGTGTCTGGTGGTCAACGTCCACACGCACAGGGTTAACTGGAGATCGACGATTTCCTTTCTCTAGTGTTGCTTTGAACGAAGTTTGATGGTTATCAACTCCACCTTGTGCAAAAGGCGGCCGGTAGGGTGCTGGAGAGGCCGGAGAGGTTACTTCCGTCACCGGCGCCTTCTCGGGATTTCTCTGCTGCATCGCGCCGACCAAATCCAACATTTGTTCCATTGAAGTAGTCAAGGAATCCACCTTTGATTCCAAGGAAGTGAAGCGCGAATCGAGATTGGAGAATTTTGACTCTAGGGTTTCAATCCGACCGGAGTTGGCATCACTGTTGGTTTCCTTGGCTGATTCTTCCACCGCAACCCTTGTTCTTGTCATTTTTTTTTTTTTTTGGATTGAAAGTGCAGAAATTGGTTGGGAATGGAGGGTTTCAGAATTGAACGAACCAAAAGTCAGAGTAAATTCGAGCGGAAAAGTCACGATTTAGGGGCTAAAATTCCGAGGAAAGTCTAGCTCTGATACCAAATGTAATGCTCCGGCTAATTTCAATACACAAAAAGAAGGGATCGACGAAATCGAAGAAGTAATTCGGAGCAAGTTAGGGTTCGAAGGGAGAGAGAATTTGGGGATCTACTATTTTTAAAAAAAACCAAACAATACTTCAACTAATCCATAATTATAATTTAACCCAGCCGAGACTATATACAGTCTTGCAGTTTGCATAATTACATTTCAAACCCTATTCTATTACTTTAAGTCAAATGAATCCTAGATTCATGACATTTGTGTCCTATTTTGTTCTGTTTGGGCTTTCTTAACCCATGGGTTCTTACCTTTTCCTGAATTTGGGCCGCTTTTGTTTCTATGGGTTTTACCTGCAGGAGTAGAGGGAGTAGATTTGTGAGTGTGAACGTTATTGACTTCCTTACCTGCTGTCGCCGCTTCGGTGGCTCCGCCGTTGGTGCCGTTAGTATACTCTGGATCTAGTTCCGATAGCAGAGCATATTTCGATTGACCAAAGATAAATGGCTATCTGTTTGTTGTATTGTATGATCTTCTAGTTTTCTTTTGTGCGTAATTCCATTCTCCCAAATGAGGTTGCCCTTGGGGTTGTTGCATTGGGAGTTGGGCAGCTTTGTCCCACTGAGAGGTGGATGGTGACTGGTGGGGTTGCTTTTCATTCTCCAGATTTGTAAGCGGTGGTGAATCGGCATCTCTATCTGCGTAGTTTCCTTGTGATGGCGGCGCCGGTAGGGGGGCCGTTGGGCAGGTTTGAGTCTCGTGGCCGTATTTGCCACAGTGGAAACAAATTTGCCTTAAATCCTCATATTCAATTGTATAGGGCTTGCCGATGATTCTGAGCTTTCCTTTTAGTGGCTTTGAAAGGTCCAGTTCCACCGCAAATCTGGCGTAGCGGCCTCTTTCAGCGGTGATTGTATTTCTGTCACCTTTGATGAATCTACCCAGAGGACGTGCTATATCCCTTAATATGGCTTCATGGAAATACTTGAGGGGAAGGCCAGGGATGCGGATCCAAGTAGGAACAGCAGAGATATTCTTGCCTGTTGGGTCGAAATCTGATGTCCAGGGCAGAACATTTATGTAGTGGTCCTTGATTGACCATGGGCCATTTAAGAGAACATGATTGTAATCCTCTTCGTTTGATAGCCAAAACATGTGGATGCCGTTTATTACATTGGATGGGTGGATTTCTCCTTTTGGTCGCCACATCGCTCTCAGCCTTTTGTGGAGCAAATAGTATGGAAATTCCCGTCCTAAAGGCTTCACCGCCACTGAGTAAGTCATGGCTCGATTCATTCTTTGTTGGACTGGGTCTGCAAATGCGATTGTTGTGAGGCCGTCCACCTCTCCGTATTTAACTTCTCCGTCCTTTGTTGTTACTGTTTCCATGTAGTAGCCTTTGGAGGTGCTAGGTTGTTGGCCTTGAAGCAGGGTGTCTTTGAAGGAGGAGTGTCCCCAGGCTGCTCCAGCTGATTCCGTTGGTGGGATTTCACTGCTGTCATGGTTGTTTGGTTGTGATGCGTCTTTAGGTGCTATGTTTATCGTCGGATTATCTGTATCGTAGTTGAGGGGAGGAGAGTCCTCCATCTTCGAGTCCATTTTGGACCGGAAAGTAACTGTTATGTTGCCGTTAGAGTCTTGCTGTTCAGGGAGAAATTTTGTTCTATTTTTTTGTTCTATTTTGTTCTATTTTGTTCAGGGAGAAAGTAGTTGGTGGAGGAATAGTTGACCCCCTACATGATTTTTTTGGTAGTTAATTTCGGTTCAGATTATTTGGCTTCGTTCCTGACTCAAGGCCCAGGGGATGCAATGCCTAGAAGGCCCAGGGGATGTTGTAGGGGTCTCGTACCCTCATAATGTAATCATTCATATATAAGGTGAGCCCCTCCTCCATTGTAACAAAAAAAAAAAGATTTTTATAACGTCGTTACAAAAAGAATAATCTAAACTATTGATAAAATAGATTCAAAAGTTGAAGCTTGTGTGCCTTTAACTTGAGTGTATACATATCATTGGAAGCATCCGACACAAACTTAGATAAACCAAAATTAGCAACCTTAGAAGTCAAAATTTCATCTATCTAACCTTTCGGATCCTTCTTCTCCAACCTATATACATAAACTCCGCTTTACACTGAGGCTCTGTTTGGTTGGATTGAATTGGACCCAAGAATTGGAATTAGAGGCTTCCAATTCCAATTCTTGTGTTTGGCTGATAAAAATAGACTTCCAGAATTAGAATTATAATTCAAGATGGGGCTCAATTCTTTATTTTCAATTCTTTTGTGGGAGCAAATAATTGCAATTCAAATTCGAGGGTCTTTTCAACATATCGCGGGTCATAAATCCGGGTCAACTTATTTTTTTCGGGTTCGGTTAAAATTGACGTCTCTCTCTAATTCCCACATTTTACAGTTTCTTTATTTTCTTTCTTCCTTTTTTTCCTCCCATGGCGAAGCCCGTCTGAAATCGCCGCTCGCATGGCTCTTTAGTTTTCTTTTTATTTTGAGCAGGAAAGATAACAGAATTTCTGCCTGTTTCATGGTGGCTCTGCTTGAAGTTTGGGTTGTCCGAATATTTGATTTTTGTACCTTATTTGGTGAGTCGGTGTTCTTCCAGATTTATTTTGTTTTTGGTCTTTCAATAATTGTAATCGTTTTTGTTCGGTGAATAACCTCGTTTTAAGGCTTGTTTTCTACTGAATTTTGATTAGATGTGGTGGGTTTGGCTTAAAGTCCATGTTTCTGGGTTTTATTCGCGTAATTATCTTGATATAGTCTTTCTATGAGAACCCTAGTTTTACCACTGAGTCACTCTCACCCCAATAGAGATCTCAATCATTTGAGAGTCGGAGGAAGACTATGAATTAGGCCTATTTCTTTCTGCTATCGCCTGACTACCGAACCTTGATGAGATCAACAGTAGCAATTCAAAAGAGAAAGGTCAGGTCTCATCTACACGTGTACGCCATGGCCTTTCTAAAGGGCAAATGAAATGTTTCGGAGCTTCTAGGGTCGGCACCATCAATATGTGCTCAATATTAACCAGCAGGAAGGTAGCATTAGTGATACTAACGTTTCAGCACCTAAATCATCTTTATTGAATCCGTACCTATTGAGGGTTTGTATGGAAACTGTGCAGTTTTTAATAGGTGAGAAAGATGTGGTACCGCGCAGGGTAACCATTGATTCAATTCTTATTCATTTGGAATTGGATAAGTTAGGTACTTGTAGTGTTTTTTCCTAGATAGTCGGTTATTGGAAATTGATTTTGGTGAGTAATCTTGTTAATGCCGAAAGGGAACTTTTACATCTTTTTTGCAGAAGCATTATAGTCTTCAGTGTCCGAATTTGCATGGCCATTTGTATTGGTTGATAAAAAAAAATGAAGGGGAAACCAAATAGATATGATCAGAAGCACTGTGGGCGAATATGTTAGTATATATGCTTGTAATAAGAAACCAATTAAGGCTAGGTCACTCAAGTCTCTCATGTAACAAAGGGGAGGAAAAAAAATTAATGTTGTTGTTGTTCTTAGTAGTATTTTGATTATTTTTCTTGGTTTTTGGGGGAAAAACTAGTGTAGCTAGCTACTTTTGTGTTTTTTTTTATAGAAAGGCTTGTTTTCTGGGTCGCTTTTTGTGTGGACTGTGGAGTGTAGACTTACTGTGGTGATGGTGTACGTGTTGTTTTTGTTTGGTTAAAGGCTGTGGGTTAGTGTGTGACTGTGTGCAACGTGGGTGTAGTAAGATTAGATCAGCTAGGCACCTGCTGGCCTTTTATTTTATTTGTACGTGGATTTTGGGCCTTTTTTTTTGTATGTAGAACATCTCTGTAACTTTTATACATATATTAAGATTTGCTTACCTTCTATTTAAAAGAAAGGCTAAGTAAATTGAGTTGGCAAATTGATTTGTATTTTTAACTACATGAAGAGTTATGTATTCCAAACTCTATTGATAGATAGCTCTATCCTTAGTTGCACATTGATGACTTAGTTCTTTATTGCAGAGAGTTACAGATACTTCACAGTGGTGCTACGATAGGACTTGTCAAGGACAGAAAAGGGAGCGGATGGCATTATATTGACCATATCATCTTGTACGTTATCTTTTTAAAGCTTATTTGCAGTAGTAAAATTATGACTCAACTTTGAATACAGTAACTGTTACAATGCTAGAAGATACAGTAGTAATCCTTTTCTTTGAAACATTGGTCTTAATTCTCTCTGATGCCACTTTGCTTACCTTCTATTGTGATTCCATGGTTTGCTTGGATATTTTTTACTTGATGATAATGTATGCTCATTTGAAAAGCTATATTGCTTGCTGAGGTTTAATCAGTAAATTGTTTACGTTAATAGGAAATATTAAATGTGGGCTCGTCTTACGTCTCAAGTTTTAATTGTGGGTTTGTATTACGTTTGTGATTTTGCTGTCTTTCCTTGTCTCTTCTGTACTGGTAGACTTTTCGCTTTTTGAGCAATTCTGTTAGAGAAACTTTTGATGTATTTTGCATCATTTACATGGCTTTAGAAAAGTCAATAGTTGAGCTTATTTATTGGTTAATAATTAGATTACATAGATTATCAACTCTCCCGTAATGATGACGAGGATAACGCAAGAAAGAGGCAAAGAATATTCGTCGTACACCAAGTTGTTACTGCAACTGCTATAGCCATTATGTGGCACAAAAAGCATATGGTGAAAGAGCCAAGCTTGGACTTCTCTGTAGCACGACAAATATACCTTAGGCGACTCTATTATGGGAGTGATAGAGTTTGTAAGGATCAACTCCGTCTAACTAAGCATTGTTTTACTGTTTTATGCTCTAATCTAAAAGAGCTAGGAGGATTGAGAGATTCAGCTCATGTCCCTATGGAAGAACCAGTAGCTATGTCCTTTATTTCAATTTGACGAATCGAAAAGTGAGTTTCGATTTTATAAGATTAGGGGAGAAATTCAGTCATCAATTTAACATGGTGTTACATGCTATTTTAAGAATTGGAATCAAATATGTTAACCAAGAAGAAATAGAAATGGAGGGGTTCGAAGCTGAAAAATGGATGTGGTTTGAGGTAAACATAGTTTGTGTTTGCTGGTTAGTTTAGAAATTAGTATATTAATCTTAAGATTCATTTTTGGTTTTTGGTGGCAGAACTGCCTTGGAGCATTAGATGGCACTCATATCAAACTAACTATTCCACTAAGAGATCAAGGAAGATACCGAAATAGGAAGGCTGAGATAACGACAAATGTTCTGGCTGTGTGTGCCCGTGATTTGAGATTCACCTACGTTTTGCCGGGATGGGAAGGTTCCGCAGCTGATAGTAGAGTATTGCGCGATTCCTTAACTAGAACTGACCCTTTTGTAGTACCCAAGGGTAAGTTGCATTTACAGATTTCGTTTTTCTATTTTTTCTTCATTATCTTACATACCTTTAGATTATTGGGAAATAAATTCTCCACTTAAATCTTTAGGCAAATATTTTCTTGTCGACGCGGGATATACAAATGGACCTGGGTTCTTAGCTCCGTTCAGAGGGGTTCGTTATCATCTTGACGAGTGGTCCGCTAGAGGTAACAACCCAAGAACTCCCAAAGAGTTGTTTAACCTCCGACATGCAACCGTGAGAAATGTAATTGAACGAGCTTTTGGTTTGTTGAAGAAGCGGTGGAAAATCATGAGAGAAGTCTCTTGTTTTGATGTTAAAACCATGTGAAAATCATCAACGCTTGTATAGTGCTGCATAACCTTATTAGGATATAAGCTCCGAATGATCCAATGCTGGATGAAGTTGATGCAGAGCTTCTTGCTAGAAATAACCAAGATGATGATGCTCAAGGTGGTGAGGTGACAAAGACACTCAACCTGTGCATGGTGGTGAGGATGAAGAAGACAGTCCATATGTGCATGGTGTTGCACAGAACTCCAGCCGAATTACTGTAGTTCAATCTACTTATGAATGGAGCCGATTTAGGAATTCGTTAGCTGAAGCTATGTTTCGTGATCATCAAAATAGACATAGCCTGTAATTGTTACTAAATTGTACTTGCCATGCAATACTGTTGCAATGCTGGCTGTTGCACTCTCTCTTATTCATAGTGAATAGGATTTCAGGCATTTTATTCGATGGGACATGTTTCAGTTCAGGTCGTGATGTTAACTGCAATGTGAATGTTGTTATGTTATCCTTTGATTTAAAGAACTGATTAAAAATGGTACACTGTTTTGTGATATTACTGAGCATTGTATGGATATTGAGACACTTGATTTATTCTTTTTTTTTTGTTGTATCTTGTCCCTGCAACAAATTTTCAATTTCGATGATGGTGGCTGATGATGTTGGATGGATGTATCCCTGTAATAGTTTGGGTATATTTCATATTGCATTTGAGTACAATGGCTTCTCGGCTTGTCCTTTTTTTTTTTTTTCAATTTGCACACTGCAACAACTTATTTAACTTTGCTTACTATAATACTAGGATACATAACCATTTTTAATTAAATCAATAAGTATACTGTACTCTATTAACAGAAGACAGCTAGGATGTTGATCTCATTGCTTTTTGGGAGTTTGAACCCAAGTGGTTTGATCATT